GTTAAAATATAATAACAAACAAAAAGTATTACTTTAAAGTAGATAGCTAAGTTGGCATGACAGGTTGTGTAAGTCTTTAATAACTATAAGGTCACTAGTTCGAAACCCCAGACGAGTTGCTTAGTAATCTGAGGACCTAAGAAAAAAAAAAGAAATATTATAATAATAATAAACAAAAATTTAATTATTAGTAAGATACTAAAAAAATACAAATTATTTCAATATAAAATTTGTGCAGCAGTATAAATACCATAAGTTTTATATTCGAAAAATAGTGTAATAAAATGGTTCCTGAGTTATAAAAACCGGCCGGGCTCGGGTACAAGTCTTCCTTGATAGTCGACGAGTTGCTTAGTAATCTGAGGACCTAAGAAAGAAAAAAGAAATATTATAATAATAATAAACAAAAATTTAATTATTAGTAAGATACTAAAAAAATACAAATTATTTCAATATAAAATTTGTGCAGCAGTATAAATACCATAAGTTTTATATTCGAAAATAAATACAAAACCAAACAAATTCCACTTTAATATTATTGTGTTTTTTAGCACTATTTGTACTTTTTTTCTTTTCAAAATATCAAATAAAAGATTTATTTTTTATTTTTTATATTATATTAAGAACCAATTTTATATTAAAAATCACATCAATACTTATTTATATCACGTACCAATTCAAATTTATACTATTCAATCTCAAACCAAAATCCAAACTCCAAAACAAACACTAAATTAAACAATAATATAAATTGAAAATTTTATTATCCATAATCCAAACTCCCAAACAATCACATTCAAGAGCAATAAAAAAAAAAAATTAAACTAGCAAAATTCATATATTCCCTGCATGCTTCATCGCCATCTCTGATAAATATCCCAGTACTAATTTAACTTTGTGTTTATATATATTTTTGGAAAATTTAATAAACAATATATAAAATATTTCAACAATTGAAATTCGAAGCCTAATTTCAAGTTAAACAACATGGTAAAAAATAAAAACAAAAATAAAAAACTTACTTCAAAACTCTTTGTTTGAAATTCGAATAATCTTGAACGATAAAGGATTAGACTCGAAAACCCTTATGGCAACTCCTTCGGTCCGACGTCGAAGCTTAGGATTAGGCAACGGTAGCCATTGTTCCGCAGCCGGCTTCCCAACATAATATCGACAATATCGTGAGTTTATTATTTTCTCGCAACATAAAATCCCTTGATTGCACGACGCCAATATCTTCATACCATTGAGAAGGCGAGCCATACGATCAAATGATGATCCATCGACGGATACGAACATGGAGACGTACCCCCAACGTCGAATGTCTTGAAGAAAGAATCCCGACAAATTTTTGGTTCTTTCACAATACTTGGGAAGAAAAGTCGGGTTTGATATGATATCCTCACTCCATGACTTGGCGACACACTTGCATACATCTAACGTTTGCAATGTAGTTCGAGTTAGGATTTCGAAAATGATGTCGTTCGGAATGTACTGGCGAGCCATTGTTGCTGGTGTGAGAACTAAGAAAGAAATGAATGAAGAAGTATAATGGAACCATAATTAAGTTTGGGAATAGAATGAATGAAAGAAATTGTAAAGTGTGGAGGGCTATATATATATATATATATATATGAAAGTTTGTAGATATTTTATTTATTTAAATCTTAGAAAGATTTGATTCGGAATATATTCAAAATAGATATAGAATTGGATTTTTAATATTATTTTATTTATTTTATGTAATGCTTAGAATTATTTGAATGAATTTAAGTAAAGGTCCAATTAACACACGTGACAATTAATCCTTAACTCCAAATCTTTATCACAATTTCTCACGTAGTGATCTTTTTCATTGTATCTATCGGTATATATATACGAAATCTCAATCCGAATTCAAGATTTACAAACTTTAGATAGATACAAGTGTATCTTGAAAGATATATTGGATTAGACTAACTAGTTATTTTAATTTTTGTTATTTTCTAGCTAATTTATTTTTACGAATTGAATTATAAAAATGATGATATAAGTATAATATTTTATTTTAGTTATTAAATACATTTTTCATACTTTTTTTTCTTATTTTCATTTAAATTTATTATCATTCTATTTTTTTTACTTTAAAAGAAATATTTCTATTTTTTTGTAAAAACTAGTGTCTTCCAAATGAGCACATAATTGGACGAGGGATGGAGTATATTATTACTATAACTTTTTATTAAATATTATACTTAATAATTATTTTAAGGGAAAAAATCAATTTTGGTTCCAATATAACAAAAATTTATCAATTTTGGTCTCAATATAAAAAACTCATCAATTATAGCCCAAATATAAATAATTTCAATAAATTTTGGTCCCATTATAAACAATTTTAATCAATTTTGGTCCCACCGTTATAAAACTAAAGGCAATTGCTGACGTGGACATGACAAAGGTGACGTGGCAGTTGAGCTGGAAAGTACACGGTCATGTTGTTACATGACCGTGTATATTGCAGTGTATAATTATACATGGCCATGTTGTTACACGGTCATGTACAATTATATGCGGTCATGTACATTTCTATTTTAATTTAAAATTTTATTTTTTTGTTATATTTTTATTAAAAGAAATTATTTTTGAATTTAAAATAGTTGATATAGTTAAAATGCACAAAATCAATAGTAATTATAATATAATTAAAATTTATCAATTTCAATACAAATATAAAAATTTATAAGATATATTCATTTGAAATGTTTTGTCTAAAATTTTATTATTCATGAAAATCTTTTTAAAATTTATAAAAAATATTTTGCTAAATAGTAGAATTTTAGACAAAATTTTTCAAAAGAACATACTCGATAAATACCTATATTTGAACTCAAATTGATATATTTTAAATATATTATGATTATCATTGATTTTTTTTTTTCTATTTTAACTATATCAACTATTCTAAATTCAAAAAAAAAATATTAAAAAATATAACAAAAAATTAAAATTTTAGACCAAAACAGTACACGGCCGTGTAGAATTTATACATGGTCGTATCGATAGTCATGTAATAACATGGGCGTGTAAAATTCTATATGACCGTGTAACAACATGACCATATATAATTATACACTGAAATATACATGGCCATGTAACAATATGGCCGCATATAATTGCACATGGCCGTGTACTTTCCAGATCAACTACCACGTTACCTCCGTCATGTCCACGTCAGCAATTTTCGTTAGTTTTTTAACGGTGGGACCAAAATTGATTAAAATTGTTTATAATATGACCAAAAGTGATTGAAATTGTTTATATTGGGACTAAAATTAATGAGTATTTTTATATTGGAACCAAAATTGATGAATTTTTTATATTGAGATCTAATTTGATAAATTTTGATTATATAGATTTTAATTTAAAAAACACATCCTTACATAAAACTCTAGGTGAATGTTTGGGGGCTAAAAAGTCCTGCTCAATGAATAAAAATATATAATGACTAATACCGAATAAAAATGAAAACTAATCCAATTACACATGTTACTCAGATTATAGTATTATTGGACCATGTGAACTCGACCTTTTTTTAACCCTTAAGAAGCGATATGTTTGATTTATATTTATTTTAAATAATTTTATTTTACAAAAAATATATAAAATGTATATTTTTATAAAAATTGTGAAATAAATAAATAAATAACAAATAGAACTTGTGTGTATATTTGTGTTTTCAAATAGTCATACATGTAGGGACTGACACCTTCATGAATGTACATTTAATTTTGGTCATGCTATGGTAGTGAAATTCAATTATCACCTAAATTAATGGTGGCAGGTCAATATTTAATTCAAATGCAATTATTATTATTATTATTATTATTATTATTATTATTATTATTATTGTTCTTTAACGTCCATTTTAAGTTACAAAAAATTTTAAATACACCAAAGTAATGCATGCATCTTAACTTAATTTTCATCCAAACTTTAGAATGTGTTTGGTTTCTATTTTCCAGGTAACATGTCCAAGGTGCTGTTTCTGTCTCTTCCACATGCCATGTCATTTTTCTTTTTTGAAATGATTACACACTTTAATTTTATTTTAAACTTTTTAATTTTATTTTTTTTAAATTTTAATTAAACTAATTAGTTATTTTAATCTTAATTTATAATTATTTATATTATTGAATAATTATTTTCACTAATATATTCTTAATTATCTACTGATTACGCACCTCCTGTCTACGGTGTAGCAGTGTGGGATGGAGGGAGTAATACAAATAAAAAATATTAAATTAAATATATTATTTTTTATAAAATGTAATAGTATTTAAATATTAATACCCTTATTACGATTGAAACAAGATTTATTATATTTGTCTTGTTGTTAAGATATTTGGACAAAATGGGATTATAAAATTGTGTTCCCTAGCCTAGTTTTGACCGTTGGAGTATTGTACATAAAAATATTTAATGGATGTATGCCATGTACGAAATTATCAATATTTACATTAAATCTTATGTCTGTTTATTTATTTATATAGAAAATAATTTTTATGCATTTTTCAATTTAAAATAAAAATAAAATAAAATTCAATGTATAGAGATAGATAGATACAAGTTGGACCTTTCTTCCTCAGTACAGAGAACCCCACAAATCTCTACAGCTTCTTCACTCTCACTCTCAACACTTCCTCACTCTGATCGCCAATTTTTTATTCTCAAGGGAGGCTGGCTGGCTGGCTGGCTACACAGTATAGTCTGGAGAGAGAGAGTTGCATAGTTGCATTGGCTGTTTGGCTCTCCAGCTGCGCTAGAGCTACCCACTTTCTCACTCCTCCTCCATGACCATGAGTGAGCTGTAACTTTGAACCAACAAATACAATATTCAATCCATCCTCCTTTTCTTGATCCATAGCCATGCTCCCAATCTTCACAACCTTCCTTCTCTGCAGGATTTGAATCCGCCATTGACGTTCCGACCTTGTGATTCCCAATTTCAGTACCGACTCTTACCACCTCCAATTTCTTCGAATTTCAGCCTTTTTTTTTTCTTTGCCAGGATTTGAACCTCACAGCTGATTTTTAGGGGATTCGATTCCATTTCCGTTTACAGCGAGCAATGTTGACCTGCATAGCCTGTTCGAAGCAACTCAACACCGCCGGATCTCTCCAAGAGCAGCCGGAAGACGAAGACAACGCCGCCGTCTCCGCCGCTCTAACCAAGCCATCCGCTAAAAGCCTCACTTCTCAGGTAAAACAAAACACTAACCTCTGCCTCAGTTCCGTTCGATTCATTCGCTTGCTATTCTGGATTTGTTGTTTCTCATCGATTAAGCTCTATACCTTAATTGCTGTAGCTGTTATTGTCGCCATTTTTGCTATTCCTTCGTTCTCCTTGCTTTCTTCAATCTGTCAATTAGACATTTATAAGTTTTTTCATACATCTGTTTTAGATCAAGGACATTGCTGTAAAGGCTTCAGATGCATATAAGAGCTGCAAGCCATGTTCGGGCTCGTCGGGCCGGGATCTCGGCCGTACCTATGAGGACTCAGAGGTCGGCTCGGCGTCTGAAAGGTTTTACGGCTCGTATAGAAGAGCCGGCAGCTGCAACTCAACCCCACGCCTTTGGGGAAAGGATATGAAGGCTTTCTCCAGTGGCTCAGCCACGCCTGCTTCGGTTAGCAGTAGAATTGAGTCAGTGTTGTTCTTGGAGGAAGATGAGCCGAAAGAATGGATTGCGCAGGTCGAACCGGGAGTGTTGATCACATTTGTGTCGTCGCCTCGTGGTGGAAATGATCTAAAGAGGATTCAATTCAGGTAAACACGTTTTTTCACAATTTGTTCGAAGTTCGATAATTAGAATGAATGATTGCTGCTGTGTCTGTATATGCTTATATGGCTTTGGATAAGATATTTGTGAGCAATGGGATAAACTAGTCGAAGATATGGAAAAACAATACATTGTGCCGTTCCATATTTGGCTGCGCCGCATAATAAATGTGGGCGTAGTAGCTGCATTTTGTTCGATAATTGAATGGCTTTCTCTGTTCAGGTTCTTATTTTTGTTTTGTGTGGTTACATTGTCTTGTTATGAGTAATTCTGCACTTACTACCATTGGTGCTTGCAAACTCCCTTTTATCTGTACATTCGAAAATTGTGATTTGTTCAAGTTGTGTAAGTTTGAAGATGGTTTTGATGGGTCGTTGTCTTGATTGTTTGAAAATTGTTGTATGTTAATTTATTTCAATTTTCGATGGCGTTGAATTTAATGGGATATATGTGGGCACAGCACACACCCTGTTGCCATGCCCCCCCAAAATTATGGAGGTGGCCCCTCGAAAAAGTGGTCCTTCGACAAATGGCTTCTTGGTTATGGGGTTATTATATTCACATCAACTTTTAGTCACTTTCCACATGAATTCGCGAAACTAGATCAGGATCGAAGATATTTAAGATGGGTAAGGTTTTAGTTTTAGTTGTTTAAGTGGATCGGGACAAATGATATGGCGCAAAACGATTGAATTAGGAAAGCCCTTAACTAGCAAACTCTCATGCTTTTTGCTATTGTCTTTATCAGCTCACGATACTCATTAAATTTCCTCTGGAAATATCTTAGCATGGTTATGAATTGGGTTTGAATTGTTGATTGCTTGTCACAATGTATTGATCTTCGTTGAATCACAAACCATTTATAGCTCATTTTAGTTGCAGATAACTGATTGGCATTTATCTATCTGAAGGACTAAAATCATACTGCATTTCTTCTAGTTTGTTAGTCGTTCTGTGCATGGTGTGATTTAAGTTCGATTGCAATGAAATAAAACAGTAGGTTAAAAAGCACAGAAGTAACATTTCTATGTTTCAATATTAAATAAAGATGTGCACTTTTCCATTTCTTATGTACTTGCTTCTTTTAAAGATATGGTTTATACGATTTCTTCGTATGTTCTGATTGTGTGCTTCAAACCGGATGGTCTTTACAGCCGAGAGATGTTTAATAAGTGGCAAGCGCAACGATGGTGGGCAGAGAATTACGACAAAGTTATGGAACTCTACAATGTCCAGAGGTTTGCTAGTCATGCTGCGCCGCTGCCAAATCCACCAAGAACCAAAAACGACGAGGTGCCCTCTGCTCTGTGAAGCTAAACATATTTTCTTTTTCTATAACTTTCGTCATTGATTAATTTACATTTTTACTTCACAGGACTCGAAAATCGATTCTGCTGGGGATAGCCCCGCGACGCCATCTGTGGATAAAGAGCATTCGCCCCGATACCACCACCCGACGGGAATCAGTTCTCCATCTACAGATTCTCCCGAACATCGACAAATGCATTCTCGTCCCAATCCTGAATCAGGCGGTCGTAACGCAGCTCCAAAGCTCTCCAGCATCTGTGCTGCCAAAACCGAGACATCGTCCGTCGACGCTTCTGCACGATCGAGTTCTTCAGCAGGGGAGGAGTTCGACCACTCGGGAGAGCTTTCAGCGAGCAATGCCAGCGATTTAGAGAGCGAGTGGGTCGAGCAAGACGAGCCTGGAGTCTACATTACGATTAGAACTTTGCCAGGCGGCGCTCGGGAGCTTAGGAGAGTTCGTTTCAGGTATAAACCTCTATTTAAATACATTATGATCATGTATACGAATAAATTAAACCCCGGATATTGACATCCAACTTGGAATTGGTCGATGCAGCCGAGAAAGATTCGAGGAAATGCACGCGAGGATGTGGTGGGAGGAGAATCGAGCTCGGATTCAACAGCAGTACTTGTGATTTGGATGGCGGAGCAATGTGTATCGAAATGTTTCGGATCGAATTCTTTTCTTTTGATCGTTTAGGCACAGTTCGTCGGGTTGTTGTTTTTCTGTTATTCTGTAGCATCGGTGAGTCAAGAAAGACGTTGAATTCTAGATCTCGAGAAAATACTTTGCACAAATTTGAGTTGATCGAGCGCGTGTTTGAATTTATGTTGCTACGAACAATCAAATTTATGGAGTTGAGTTTGCAATTTCACGACACGAATCAAATTTTCGGATTTGAATAGATCGAGTGGCGAGTTTGAATTTATGTTGGTCCCGAACAATAAAATGTGTGAAGTCTAGTTTAAATTTTAGAGTTGAATGATACCGATCAAAATTTCAAATTTGAAAAAATTGAGCACAAGCTTTAGCTTATGTTGCCTTTGAACAATCAAATTTATGAAGTTGAGTTCGCAATTTGTACAATATAAATCAAAATTTTAAATTTGGGTAGGCGGGAGTTTTGATTAATATTGCTCTCAAACAATCAAATTTATGAAGTTGAGTTTTCAGTTTTGACAAAAAAAATTAAATTCTAAAATTTGAATAGATGAACGCAAGATTAAATTTATGTTAGCTCATGAATAATCAAATTTATGAAGTAGAGTTAGCAATTTGAATGATACAAATCAAAATTTCAAATTTGAATGGATCGAGTGCGAATTTAAATTTGTCCTGCTCCAATAAAATCAAATTTGTGAAATTTAGTTTCTAATTGGAATAATACAAATCAAAATTTTAAATTTGAATAGATTGAGCGCAAGTTTGAATTTATATTGTTCCAAATCAATCAAATTTATGAAGTCAAATTTGGAATTCAAATAATACAAATCAAAATTTCAAATTTAAATAGATAGACAGAAGTTTGAATTTGACAGTATTTTCCTAAAGAAAATCAATTTACGAAGTCAAATTTGCAATTTAAACAATACAAATCAAAATTTCAAATTTAAATAGATTGAGCGCAAATCGTTGTTCATAATAATCAATTTATTTGCTATTTTGTATATTTTCAATTTAATATAATTTAATATAAATTATTTTACTACATAGTTTTCATAACTATTTATAATCAAAGATATAAAGTCTAAATTCTTAATTTGTATTATATAATTCAAAATTTGTAGGATGAGTTTCTTTTGTATTTTTAATTTAAAATACTCGTAATAAAAAAAAAATTATTATTTGAAAATATGTCAATAATAATTATTAGAACGAACATTATTACAATATTTTCAGATTAATAGAAATTAATAATAATAACATAAAAAGTAGAGTTGAGATTAGATCAAAATATATTATTTAATTAAAAAAAAAGTATTTTATTCCATCCCTCTTTTAAATAAAAGAGATCAAAATAAATTCTACTATTTACGTAATTATTTATTTCATATAAATTTACACTAATATATTAATAAAACGGGTTGGGCCTTAATTGAGGCCCATGAGAAATTTGAAACCGAACATGGTTTTAAATTTAAATAAAATTATTATTAATAATAAAATTTAATAAAAATGGTGTTTTTGGACATAAACATAATTTCAATTTCCCAAATTCAAAAACCCTCGCTCCGTTTCGTCCTCCTGTCCCGTTGTCTCTTTCCTTTCTCTGTGTCAGCCGTTTTATTCTTCGAACGCAAAACCCTGTTCAATTCCAAAACCCTCGCTGCTCAATTCACCGCTTCTTTTAGACGCATTTTCTTTGTTGGGTTGACTGAACAAAGAATTCGCGTTGTCTGGGCGTCGTTCTGTTGCTCTTCATTCGATTGGCGTGTGGCGATGGTATCCGGCTCCAGAATCGAAGGTGGGGAGGTACAAATTCTATCGGCGGGCGTCCGAAGGACCATTCAATCGATTAAAGAAATTGTGAGGAATCACTCTGATGCTGATATTTATGTGGTGCTTAAAGAGACCAATATGGATCCTAATGAAACCACTCAAAAACTGCTCAATCAAGGTTCGTTTTTCCCAGTTTTGTGGTTTTAATGGTTTGTCGTTGCTCTTGTTTGTTTGTGTGAAAACCTCGAAGGCTCTTTCTGAGATTGTTTCCGGAACATATTTTGCTTATTGACTAATTATTAGTGTTAGTGTAATACAAAGTCTACTTGTTTGGTTCCAGAGAGTTTAGATGTTTTGGATATGAAAGTGGTATTGAACAACAGTTGAAGATGAGTTCAGGGATGACTTTAGGAAGTAGTGGAATTTGGTGGTTATTGATTGCAATTTCATATATTGTGATGATTTTTAGGTAGAATTGCATAAATGTAATTGGTTCCTCCATGAACATGGAAATCTGGTTGGTTTAAACTTTACTAAAATTTTAGAGCCCTTTTCCCTACTCTCCAGAATTTTCCAGCGACAGTTTATTTAGATTTACGCTTTCTTGTTTTTCTTTGCTTAACCTTCTGGATAGTAAAATCTGGTCTTCTGCTGTTACTAAGTATTTTCATTTCATGTACAAGTGTTTTAATTCATTTTTCTATTGGCTGACTTATCAAATGCAGATCCTTTTCATGAGGTGAAAAGAAAGAGGGACAAGAAGAAAGAGGTATTTTTCAAGTTTCTATTAGAATCAGTTGTAGAATTTTGAACAGTTCTCTTTTAGCTTTGATTATATTCGATGGAACCTCCTCTAGTAAGAACAGGTGTTTTCCTTATTTTGCTTGGTTGAAAGTATAATGTTCTTCAATGGATAGATGAACTTCTATCATATGTTTCTGGAATTTAAATGAAAGATTTTTGTCTCATTGTGCAGTTGAATATGTTATTTCTTTGTTTAAAGTTATGTACGTATGGATTTTCCCCAAATTTATCCATGTGTGTGTTGTCTCAGAATCCAGAGCATAAGAGACATGTTGCTGCAGGACCTCAAAAAATTTCTGCGCCGGTACTGTTACCACCAAAGTATGTTACGCTTTCTGATCATAATACACAAAAAGGTGTATCTGGTCAAAATGTAGCATCTGGTAAGTCTCCTGGAAGTTTGTCATTTTCCAGCCCTCGAAAAATTACTGAGCCAGCACCGCTACCACCAAAGTATGTTACGCAGTCTGATCGTAATACACAAAGGGGTGGATCTGGTCGAAATATAGCATCTGGTAAGTCTCCTAGAAGTTTGTTATTTTCCAGCAGGTATGATATAGGAAATTCTCCATGGTTGCCGACCATATGCTGCCTCTTCGATCATGATGACATATAAGGAATATCTATTGTAGCCAACAAAAAAAGAAAAAAAAAAAAAAAAAACTGTTTATTGGAGCTATCTTATTGTACACTTGTTACCCCAAATCATTTCCATAACTATCTTGTGAATGCTAAGTATTACTAGGCTCATGAACTGATATCGGAACTTCAAGAAATAAATTGTAAATACTGTCTGGCAACTTAGATTCGATTTTTGAATATCTGTGGGAAATGTTTGTTACAATGTATGATATTCTTTTCTGAAGGTGTAGATTTTTATTGATATTTTTCTTTGGATTTATGTCTTATTGTTTTATTTTTCTAGAATCCATGTGCATTCTCAGCTAAGTGATGAATGCTGCTTACTTGATGCAGGAGCTACCCGTGAGTTCCGCATTGTTCGAGACAACAGAGTTAATAATGGTGCTAATGCAGATTCGAAGGTTGCTCAGAACTCAACTTCCAAAAGCGAGGGGGTGATCTCCAGTGGGTCCATGAAGAGGTACAAAATTGATGTATTCTTGTTCCTTCTCTTTCCTATAAGTGCCTAACCTAAATGTTGGTTTGGTAATGCAATATATATTTTGCTCTCAAGGATTAAGTTGCTTTGACCTTCTCACCCTTTGTTGTTCCGAGAAAAACACACAGAAAAGAATGGGAAAAAAAAAGAGAATGGAAGCATAAAATTATCTTTCTTAAATTATGAGGTGTGTTCTGTATGAGTATTGCTTATAATTTAGCTTTTGCAGTAATTCAACCGAATCCTCTGGTCATCAAAAGGCTCCCAGTAGTCAGAATTCATCTCAGGCTCTAAACAGTCGTGCCAATTCACAAAGTAGGCAAATGAAGGATTCTACATCTAGTGGTAATGATCACAGAGAAGTGCCTGGGGAGAGGCGTGTTCTGACTCCAAATGCCGCTTCACAAGTGCAGACAAAAGCAAACAGCCCTCAATTAAATTCTACTCATGCTTCAAGCACTTCTGTGGCAGGGGTTTATTCCTCCTCCTCAGACCCTGTTCATGTGCCTCCCCTTCATTCCAAACCTGCTGCTAACATCGGAACAATCAGGCGGGATGTTGGAGTTGTGGGACCGCGTCGTCTGTCATCTGGAAACTCGAGTAAGCTTTCATCGTCTCAAAAGACTTCTCTGCCCAATACCCATTCAGGACAAGTTGGCCACTCACCGGAGTTGAGAAAACCATTCAATGCCATATCTGAAAGTGACCAATCCAGCCAATTTGTGTCACCTGAGGCTGTTGCACTCGATCCACCCGCAGGCCGGCCCCCTTCAAGTAACCAACATATTACTAGGACTTCACAATTCACCAGTCATCATAAAGGTACGATGGGTATCTGCTTTCAAGATATAGTAGAATATCCACAGAAACATGTTTTGTGGTATTGCTAATTGTTCCACTCATTGAATTGCTTACAAAACACATATATTTAGTGTTTTGAATTTTCTACTGTATGTTATGTGCTTTGATGATGGAAAAACACTGTGCTTTGAAGTGTGCAGTTGCCCACATCTTTGTTAGGCTCTATGAGTTCATTTGTCAATCTGGGTAAAGAATACTAATTGCTTTTGATTCTATAACACAAACATTATCATTACTCTGTAGCCATTGTTGGTTTCTTACAATAAAGTAAATATAATAGATTGTATTTTTTCCATTTATACAAGATGATCTCTGATTTGCACTTGTAGTTATTCATGGAGAACTCATTGAAGCTTTCTGCTGTAGCTCCTCAGCCTAACAAGGAGTGGAAGCCAAAGTCAAGTCTAAAACCAAGCACCAAAGGTCCTGGGGTTATTGGTGTTTCTGGAAAATCTACTATTCCTCCTCCAGAGAATTCACTAGATTTGAACAGGGATTCAGCTCAAATGCAAGAAGACCTATTGCAATTGAACATATCAGAGAGTCAAAATGTAATTATAGCTCCACATATCCGGGTTTCTGAGACAGACAGATGCCGATTGACCTTTGGCAGCCTGGGTACTAATTTAGATGCTTCCATGGATTCAACTTGCATAACTGATGAGGGTGCAGAATTGCTTACTGAACCTTCTCAAAGGTTTGTTTACTTGCAGCTGTATTCCTTAGTTAAATATCTGAATGGTGTATGTTACTTTTTACGTGTTATGAAGATTGTGCTTGCACCTTCATCACTGGTTTGAGAATTGTGAATCTTTACCAATCTATTATGTGAAACATAATACCTTTTTAATAAAATTAATATTTTCAAATATCAAGGTAATTCCAATGGTTCATTCAATTTTTTTGTGATGCTGATTCTAGCTGTAGCAAACTGTATAAAGTCAAAGTAGACTTATTATTGTTATTATTGCTAAAATTGAAATTTTTATAAAAGTAGGCTCAGCTGCTAGAGCAAATTTGTAAAGTGAGAATATATTTTGCTGGTACTCGATCATCATTTCAAGGTATATACCTTGGAGAGCTTACTCGCCTATTAGGATACTTAATCAAAAAGTGTTTATTAGTCTTTCCTCTTACTAGACTGGATTTAGTAATACTTGCCTTCTAACTGGGATGGGATAATTTATACATAGGAATGAGCTTATATGTTAAGTGGTGTAGCCTTTTGTTGTGTTAAACTCCTAGAAGAAGTGACAGACTTTCGTAAATTGGTAGTGTTTCAGTCTCAGTCCCCGAATTTTCCGGAAATGAACCTGCTGGGGGCAATCTGTTAGAGATGGCGGAAGACCCTGTCCGAATTTCAGGATCTGATTCTCCTTCCTCAGGTGCAGAACATGAGAATAAACCGATTGAGAAGAATCAGTCTTTGAGTCAGCAGAATTCTGACAATTATGCAGATGTTGGGTTGGTGCAAGAGAATACCCAATCATACAAACCAGAATCTCTTCAACATCAGAATCATTCTGCGATACCTACCTTAACAGTGAGCTCCAATTCTATCACTCATTAACTGACCCGGTTTCTGGTTTATTCACATGTTCTTAGAGGATTTTGAAAAGTAGATCTAGTAATATTTCTTAGCTTAAACAACCTGCCCAAGCATGTTATATCTTACATTTTTCTTTTACTGCATCCAGGACTATGGCCATCAGGTAGGTTATGAAGTGTCATACTTCCGCCCGAGTATTGAAGAAACGGTTTCGGGTCTTCCATCATCTCAAGAGGTTAGAATCAAACCTTTGTATTGTCATTAGCTAATGGTAACTCTTTTTTCACACACCATGTCTCCTTCATAAACTAATATTCACACTCGTACATATATGCTCCAACACATGCAAGCTCACATATATACTTGTGCACATGCAAAACCTCCATCCACATAAGTATTGGAGTCCCTACAATGATTCAATAAAGCATTTGTAAGCTTGATGCTGTATAGCGAGAGAGTGGATTCAGGGTCATTATGATCTTTCTTATCCAGTTTATTTCTCAAGGGAGGTGAATGTAATCATTTTGCTACTATTTTCCTCAAAGGCTGTGATAGAATGAAGCATGAACATAAATGTCTGCTTTTGATTTGATTGATAATCTCTATTTAAGGTTTTACTAAAGTCTTGGTGATTTGTTTCTACTGACAGATCCTGAATTCGCACACAACAAACGTTATTACTTCGACAGCAGTTGGAATGGTACAACAGCAGCAACAACAACAGCATCATCAACAGCAGCAGCAGCAGCAATTGGCCCAGATGTACCCCCAACTTCATGTTTCACATTTCACAAATCTCATGCCATATCGCCAGTTTATATCTCCTGTCTATGTTCCACCAATGCCTGTGCCTGGTTACTCTAACAACCCTGCCTACCCTCATCCTACCAATGGTAGCAGTTACGTGTTGATGCCTGGAAACAGCTCCCATCTAACACCAAGTGGGATGAAGTATGGCATCCAGCAATACAAGCCTGTGCCTGCTGGCAGTCAGACTGGGTTTGCAAATTACACCACTCCAACCGGCTATGCAGTCAATACACCTGGCGTTGTTGGTGGTGCAGTGGGACATGATGATTCATCTCGACTCAAGTATAAAGATACTCTTTATGTCCCAAACCCTCAGGTACATATACATTTTTAGCTCATCTTTGTTGTGCAACAACCTACTCAAGTTCTATACATGATGCAAAAACACCACATAGTTGACACACAATGTTTGTGGATAATCTTATGTGGAGAATCGTGGCATTTTGTCTTATGCTAACACATTTGTCAGAAGAAGTAGCTTAATACCAAGAAAAAGTACCAACTGTAGTTTGTGCGCCTAATGGTGTCGTCTGAAGGCTAGAATTACTTACATGTTAGCGTTGTGTGAGTAATTACTTCATTTGCATCTATATTGGAGGGTTCTCTGTAAGCACACTGCATGCTAGTTGTTTCCAAGCTTATTGGGTTTTCAAGCTTCTAGATGTGAAACCTCTCGTTTGTAAATGATGTTCTAATTCTTTTATTTCTTACTATTAAGGAAGTTGTATCAATTGACCAGTTTGCAAAACATGAATTGATTTCATTCTCTTGGAAATTAACACAGAAGAGGCTTTTCTTTTGTTAAACAGGCTGAAACATCGGAAGTCTGGATGAGCCCCAGGGAACATCCGGGTCTGCAGTCAGCTTCATATTACAACATGCCGGCACCAACGCCACATCCTGCTTATTTGACGTCACATGGCAGTCATGCTTCCTTCAATGCAGCTGCTCAATCCTCTCACATGCAGTTCCCGGGCATGTACCATCCTCCCCCACAACCTGCTCCAATCGCAAGTCCTCACCACCTGGGCCCCACCCTTGGAAATAATGTTGGTGTCGGTGTGGCGCCTCCAGCTCCCGGAGCACAAGTGGGAGCCTATCAGCAAACTCAACTGGGACATTTTAATTGGACAGGGAACTTCTAAATGGTGTTTGTAGGAGCCTCAGAACCTGAGGATCCGGCATTAGCTATAGGTATTTCTAATTTTGTCGTTACTACCTTGTGAAAAAAATACTTTTTAATTTTAATCAATACATTGCATCATGTGTTGTCATCGTCATTTATCATTTATTTCATCTAACAAACTGACCTTGGCGGTGGTGTCCTCAGCTTCTTGCTGACGGCCTCAGTGTGCTTTGAGATGCAATTATGTTAGCACAAGTAGTAGCGGAACGTATATTTGAATGGATATATATATGAGATTGCCTCTTAATGTAACAGGTCAAGCTCTTCATCTTGTGATGTTCCCTAAGATCTCTCACCATCCATATAAAGTTCTTTAGATAAATATATATATTGTGAAGCATAGCCCGTTTGACAGCACGGCTTTCTGGATAGTGAAGGGTAAAGAAAAAGATGACGTTGTAGACCAAGTGGGACTGATTAGTTGAAAATAGCAAAGGTAGACATTGCTTTTCTCATGCTTTAGCAAAAGAGAACCTGCAAAATGTTGCTCCTCGGATCACTCCCACCTGGTTTGTTTCATTTTCGAAATTAACCTCTTCTATTGTAGCTTTCATTGATCTCGTTAATTGAATTACTTGTGCTGTAAAGAACTTGTTCATATTTGCCCTCGATGCTTTATCCTGTCATTTGGTTATTATTTTGTCGCTTTTGTTCGACCTGACAAAGCACACTAGTTGTAATAACAGGCTACTCTTCGATTGTTAGATGCATGAAAATATGTTGGGGGTATGGCTAAAGTGATAGGTGTTTTTCTGCATTCTGCATTTTGTATTCGATGTTCTTGGGATTGCTGAAGATGTCCATATCGCTTTTTCTTGTAATTGCACATAAATTCCTCTTTGCATCCATCCCCACATTCTTCTTTACCTTCAGCTAAAGCAGCAGCAACCACTGTATCTGTAATCTGTGAGAGGATGGTGACGATGAGGACGACCCCACAGGTTATTTTCGATGTTTAATGATAAGTCTATCTTGAAGGTGCCTTCCCCTTTTGTGTTGTGTTTGTATCTTCAGTCATCTTTGTGCCTCGTTTGCTGTCTGCTTTATTAGACTGTAGAATAGTATGAATGAATGAAAAAAGATAGCCATTTTACAGAGCCCAGAGCTTGCTTGTTATCCATGGAAATATGAGTCCATTAGCAAATGTGTCCTGTTCTGATCTTCCTGCTTTCTGCACAGAAAATGACTCCTCTCTATTCTTTTCTTTGCATGCTTGTTTATATGCAAAAGTTATACTACATGATCTTTATTTTTAATTTCTTACGTGGATTTTAAGATTAAAAAATGGCTGATGACGTGTGAGTCCACGTGGCAAAATCAATTGTTGTGAATACAAATTTGAAATGTGGGTTACACATAAATGCATGCATGCATGCAGCTCTCTCTATTATTTTGCCCTCTGCCATCTTTCAAGGCATTGTATTTATTTTATGTAGTTGAAAATGAAATGACTGTATGTTCAAAAATTTAAATTTTACGAAAATTGTTTTTATTAATAGTAGCTATTAAATGCAATGAGAGGATATGCACTGGAGTTCGGGGACTTGAGGTCCCGGACCTGGAGTGTTGTGATCTTTAGTATAAAAGGCAGCCCACTGCCCACCCACAGCGCCACAGCCAGAACGAAATACACAAGGCCTCTCTCTTTCTTTCTTTCCGTTATTTGGTTTCTTTCTAGTTTCTTCTATCGAAGGACATGGTGGATGTTACTTCACGGTATCCTCGAGCTTCGCACTCCGGTAACAGTGCCTCCTTCTCTTCGACGCTACTTGATGCGATTTACCGCTCCATTGATCATGGAGAAGAGGAGTTGGTGATTTACAGAGAATCTATGAGGAAGGAGAAGAGTTATTGTTCGAATTCTGTTGCGCTCAAGTGTGAGGAAGAAATGATGGATTTCCGGCGCGCTCGCATGTTCGAGAAATGGATGGAGGAGAAGGTGAGCGAGAAGGTCGTCGTTCGGAGGAAATCTGTACCTGAGTCGCCGGCGAGGATGTCGCGGAAAGATCAGGATGATTTCAGCTGGAGTTCGTCGGATTCCAGTGGCGTTGGAGGTTTCTTCTCTTCCTCCGAAGCTGAATCGTTTCAGATGAGAAGGCCAAAGCCTGTTCGGACTGGAGGTCCGAAGAAAGTCGGTGAAAATTTTGAGTTCCACCGCTGCGATAGAGGTGGTTTCGGCGCCGGCAGCGAAGTAGAGCAGGAGCCGAGGCGTGAAGGCGGAATACTTAAGGCGAAATCCCGAGCGATGAAATTATACTCTGATTTGAAGAAAGTGAAGCAGCCGATATCTCCCGGCGGCAAGCTCGCCGGCCTTCTGAACTCTCTGTTCGCCGGCGGAAATTCGAAGAAACCTAAAATCTCAGATAGCTACTCTCCATCTATGAAATCGTCCACTTGTTCATCCGCCTCCTCGTTTTCGCGGTCATGCCTCAGCAAAACGCCGTCATCTCGGGGAAAATCCTCCACCGGCGCGAAGAGATCCGTCAGGTTTTCTCCCGTAAGCGTGTTCGTAGACGACGATTACCGCCCGAACAAAACACAATCATCCAGTTTTGAGCTAAATGACAACATGATCCGAAGTGTTCTCAAAGAGAATTTTACGGCTCAAGCAATGGACAAAAATCGTCGAGTGGAGGAAATCGTCAGAGATTTGGTTCAAAACTACCACCGGAAAAATCAAGCGGAGTGTCACCGTGACTTTCCGATCGATCATCTGGTAAATTCCGACGTAAAAAATCACAATTCCGAGGACGAAGATGACGCAGCAAGCTATGCAAGTTCAGATTTATTCGAGTTAGATAATCTTTCAGGCGTTGGAATGGAGGAATTGCCAGTTTACGAGACGACTCACGTTGGTACGAATCAAGCCATTGCTAATGGCTTCATCTCCTAATCCTTAAAATATAATTAATTAAATATCACAATAACTTATGTGTAATTTCATGCTTTCGTTATGAAAATGATTGGCTTGGGGTTTTACATTTTGTTCTAAATTAGCTAGCTAGTATTTGTGGTGCTCATTTTATCTTCAAATTTTAGTCTAAATATCTTAAATGACTTATTTTCATGTGCTGTGAATCAAATAATTATACAATTCAACAGAATATTCTGGAATGGTTAGTTAGGTAACTAGAGTTAATTAGCATGTGTTATTTTTTTGTATTATCTTAATATATATCCCGTGTTTGATTACATTTAAGCTGTCTGTTATTGAGTAGTAATTAGTAAAATATCTGTTAATTAATTAGGTACTTCGTAGAGAAGCACATGCATAAATCAGTAGATGATTGACTTGTGTGGACTAAGGAGGGAATAATTAAGTCGTTAATTAATGATAAAAGTAAGTAGTAGAATGGAAGGCTTCGAGAAAAAGGAAAGCCTAAAAGGCTATTCTAGTCTAGGCACGATTGATTCATTATAATCATCAAAGTAGGCTATGTGTGTATGTCTATATATATAAGCTTCAATGGTGACCATTTTCTTGGATGGAAGTAGCTGTCAAAGTACGATGTTTATATTATTTAAAACCCCCCACCCCATTTACTACACTAATTATTAGTACATTAGATTTCTATTTTATTTTATTTTATTACACTTCAAATCTTATTTAAAATATATATGTATATTTTCTAACGCATGCAATTCAAGTGTGGCTGATGAGCCTGGTGACTGACCAGACCTGACTCAGACTGACTGACTGACTTGCAATATTGAAATTACATTTAGGCCCCACGCAAAGTTGGTAATTCTTTTTTTGTGCTAAACTTTAATCATCAAAAGTTACACGTGGGTCCGTCGCTCGCTAAACCCATTCGTATGTTCACATTGTGCCTTCTTCTTCCATTTAAAAGTGTTTTGTTATTTTAATTGTAGTATTATTTTCAAAATAATAAATTTTAAACAAAAACAACAATATACATACATCAATAGTGTGGCAGATGAGCTGAGATTGTCGGGGGTTTGAACCCATAACCTCATGGTCACATGTCCAACCTCATTCCCAGGTCATCTCTTACAAAACTTGATTTGATATTTTTGAGAGAAAAAAAATGAGATAAATAGTTAAAATACTTATAAATCTTCCAAACAAATACACTCATAGTACTATATAAATATATATTGATGTTACGTTGAAGTTAATGAACATTTTATGAAAAATAAATATATATTGATGAATAGTATAAAAAAATTCAAAAATATTTGTGTAAATATAGCTTTATTTTATTTTATTGTATAAATAATACAAAATTAAATTGAAATCATAAATAAGCACACCATTGATTATTGAATACACTGACGATGAATCTTTTTGTATGCCTAATCTTTAATTAGTCACAAACTTAATTCTCAATCATTCTAATGTGTGCATGTCTTTATATATTTCGAAGATCCCTTTTTAGCTATACTTAGAAGAAATTTATAGTATTTTTCACACTTAGTTTTATTTTCCTCGAACATTTTTTTTTCTTCAAAAATCATTGAAAATCACTATTCTATTAGAATTTCATGCATAAATAATATACATTATACTTTATAAAAAGAATTATATATATATATTGTATATAGACATGCAAAACTTAGCTAGGAATTAAAAAAACAATTTAACAAGCATGAAGAAACCACATATAATTAATAATTGAAAATATTGAATTTGATGATAGAAAGTAGCATCGGAAATAGAATATGTGAGGCTATAAAACAGATTTTGGCAGTGATTCGTTGATTAGTACTGATTGTTATATACATATTCTTCATATAATAATAATATATAGAAATGCTAGTTTTAACTAATTAGTTGTATATATTATCACATAAGTCAAAAGCAGAACCCCATATTTGTAACTTTAAATATATATATATATTTATAGACATAACAGGACAAGACATTAATAATTTAATAGTATTATATATGTAGATATATATCGAAAGAAATTAAAACCAACCCTACATGCAATAAATTAAATTGTCCGAAGGCTTGGATGAGCTATTTATGAGATACAACTATCATAAATTAATTAAATGTTTGTATCAAGAAACCACTTGTTACAATCACTTATTATTATTATATTTAAAATACTTTAAATTTTTTATTAGTAGTATCTGCCTATAAATTAGAAATGCCATGATCATACTGTTCATTCAATATAATAATATAGTTCAAAAATATTTTATAATGTCCAATTTTATATTTATAAAGAATTTTAAATTATAATCCCATTTTGATCTCACATAAATTGTTTTGTTTCTTTTTTCAAAGAAAATAAATTAAATTAAATGGAGATTGGTGTTGTGCAATAATTGAAACAATGGTGTCTATGTGAAAGGGTGCAAAAGGGACAACAATTCATTGATACTTTGTTTTCTGTCTTTCAAATAAAATCTCCTTCAAATCTTCTTCAGCATTTATACCTTTGTTTTGTGTCTTTGTGTGTGTGTCTCTTGGGAATCAATTATTTGATGCATATTAAAATTATAAAATAAATAATAAATAAATAAAATTATAAAATAGAAAAAAAACACACCAATGTCTTGAAATGGCCTTTTGTTTATTTGAATTGTTTGTTGACATGTATATATTTTGGATTGCTTTTGATGATATTTTTGGTTGTTTTGAATTAATTAATTATATACATATATATATATATATATATTAGATAGAAAAATATTTTTTTGATTATAAAGTGTACAATATAAAAAGAGAGATAGAAACAAAAATGAAGAAACAAGAATTGTTTGATGGTGCAAATTGATGTTAATTTGGAGATTTTTTTTTGCCACCAAAGTTAAAAGTTTGTTGTGTTACTTATGCTTAAATTTTCAACTTTTTATTAAATTTCTTTTACATCATTGGTAGTTTTCCTTTTTTATTTATTCAATATTGCATCCATTTACTTTACTAATTCATTTATTGTTTTTTTACATATTTTCACTACTTTATTCTACATGTTGACTTCAAATTCTTACAAGTGATCAAGACTCAATTTACATACATACATACATATATACATATAATAATAATATTATTATTTATTGACAATAACTTTTTTTAAAAAAAAAAAAAAACATTTATATGTATTTTTATTTACAATATTATATTAAAAATAATTTAATACACAAAATAAATTCATTTCATATTTATTAAACCATATCAAATATTCAACTTTTTGTGATTTTCAAAACTACCAAAAACCTTAAAACTTCAAATATTTTTTATATAAATAGCCCACTACTGAAAAAGAAGTAAAAGAGAATTAAAAAAAAATTAAAAAAAAAAGAGTTTATTTCGTAATTTATGGGTTTGTTAAACTTTTATTTGTGATTGAAATTTTGATTTTAAATATAAATAAAATAAATATTCGACATGCTTCTCCTATAAGTATTTTAAAAAATACAATATTTAATTATATATTCATATATAATATATAATATAATACTCTATTTGTCAAAAAAAAAATTAATACTTTAAAATATCATATTAATTTTTATATTATCAATATATTTTTCTATATTCAAGATTTTTTTTTTTAAATTAAAAATACAAAATACTCTGATTAGGGAGGTGGGGCCCAGAATGAGGTTATTTTGTACCCTAACCGAAACCAATAGCGCTTATCTACAAGCCCAACTGACATGCGAGGAGCACGTGATGGGCTGGCCCATATTGTCCCAGCCCTGTCCTGCACGTGCGTTCCACTGCCAGGTCGCCCCACTGCATGTCGGCCACTCACACGTGCGCTCATCTGCTCTCCATCTACTTCACTTTAATAAATTATTTTGTTTTATTATATTTTTCTTAACTAAATAAAAACCAACTTCAAAATTTTGAATTTTCGAAATAAATAAGTTGTCAGATAATAAATTGCGTAGATTTATTTATACACGCTATTTATTTGGTATGGATTTCATATTAATTATTTTTATTATTAAATTTCAAATTGTGTTTGACTTTGATTAAAAATTAAAATCAATAATATTCAATTTACATGGTTTGTGATAAAATAACTAATTTTTTTATAAAATATTATTTAAATAAAAAATTTAAATTAAAAGTAAACAAATATCATCATTTTCAGTAAATATATAGTATCAATTTTATCTAAAATATCATAAACTAATATCAAATTTAAATAAAAAACCTAAAAAGAAAAAAAAAAAAAATCCTAAAATTTGAAAAAAAACTAGGCTAGTAATACTCGAGTTTGAGTTCTTCTTGAATTTTTATACATATTTTTTAAAAAATATTGCTTCTATACAACTAATATTCATACATAAAATATTTTAAAATATATAAAATTTATTTAGTTTATATAATAAAATAATATGTCGTTACACAGCAAAATTAAACTTCATCTGCTACTTCAACGTGCAACAAGTTGCACCTAAATAAAGCAGTGAGGTATAAAATCTTGTTTTGGCGATCCCAAGATGATAAGATCATTTTTTTTATTATTATTTTTGAAATAAAAAAGAAAAACTCCACTTTATTATATATATTTTTTAGTTCTTTCATTTCCTTTATGTTAAAAGAAGATATGCAAGAATGTGAATTTTTTTGTGGGTTAAAATACCAATAAAGCACACGTGAATAATGCTTATATTTAATTAATCAGTGTTGGTTACCAAACCTAAAGGGTGTAAAAACTCAGTATATATTCAAGTATTTTACATAAAAATTAAATAAAATTTGAAATATGATATCTTCTTTTGTTAAAAAATAGCATATAAAGAAACCTAATTTTTTTAGTTTTTTCTTAAATATAACATATAGAGACTTGATTTAGTACTCCCTCTGTCTTAAACACCGTGCAAGTATAATAATTTGAGATAATTTGGATATCAAGTTATATGATTGGAGAAAGAAATAATTATTTATTTTTTTATTTGAGTGATGTGATAAGATAAAGTGAAGTACATATTAATATATGTATATAAATATTACTCCCTCTGTCCACTTACAATGCTTATATATTTTTATTTTGTAACGTCCAATTACAAAGTAAATATTTTATTAAATATCCTTATTTTTTTTTTTCTTCGAATACCCTTCCTTTACATCACATCGTTACTTTTACACAAAAAAGTAAAGTGTCGTTACACTACTTTCAACTACTCACTATAATT